ATGTCTTCCAAGGCTGACGACGCACCTGTGACTTTTCTGGAGTTGCGGGCTTCCATGTGCGTTTTAGTTTCCATGGGCGGCGCAGATCACTTACAAACAGGTGATCCATCTGCTCGTTTGCCTCTTATACCAAAAACAAAATTAATGTAGTTCAGTGATAATGTACGAACATTTCCAACTATTCTGTTGGTCTTATTGATAAATGCGATGATGGATATTTGAGCCACAAATATACTTCCAATATCTCTACGAAGGAAACCTGCAAATAGATTGCAGTATTTATGGTACTAAAGGATGTTGTGACATTGAATCCAATAAAAGTTTGATTAATTAGTCTCTAATTTACGATTTGTGATTTCAACTGAGCAGCAACGTAAACATCAAATTATATTTTAACTCTCAAACGTGTTGGAGATATAGGATTTTTATCGTTTCGTTTTTAAATAGACTATATTTAGTTCAAATGAAAATATATTTATGATGTGTAGCTAAGAATGTTGTAAGTAGATTAGAGGGTAGACAGCAATTGCTCCTTACAGAAAATTGACTGTCTGTCCGAGTCGAATCTGGTACAAACTGAATGCTATAAAATTGTAATATCTGTGAAAGAGATTTTCTTTAGAGCATTTTATAATTACTATAATATTATAAATTTCGTAGAAATTAATACAGGTCAATAGGTTTTCCAAACAAACAACTTTTTGGGTATCAGAAACCCTCGATTTCGGTCGACAAACTTCTTAGAAATGGTGGCTACATAGATTAGTAGCGAATTAAAGATCGATAGACTATGTCAACGTAATTCGTCTGCTTCAGACAATTGTGACTTATGGTGACATGACTGCCACTGAATGTCAAAATCCACGTAGTAGCGTTTCGAAGAAAATTGACCCAATTTATTTCATCTTATGACGTCACAAGATGGCGGAGTTACTCGGAATGTAATGTAGTTTATCTTTAAATCTTCTCGTTTGGATTTATTAAAATGTTTATCCTTAGGGAGTTATGATTACTTTGTATATTATTTTATGTTTCTGTCGCTTTGTCCTTCTGGCGTTTTCCCAATTAGGTTAGTTTTGGGATCGGTCTTAGGTGTATACGTTTTTATAAAGTTCAATTTACGTCACCAAAATGTGGACGCTTCTTATTTCTGAATCTGTAGGTAAATGTCGCTGGTATTTCTACGTTTCCTTGAAACGAAAATTGTTAAAAATTGCTACCCATCCGTTAATCGTACGTGGTACCATTAGTTCTAGATAGACTAATCCTGTTTAGACAAATTTATTTCGGTCCAAGCACTTAATCCTAATAAAAACGCGTTGGTACCTAAGTCTGTGAGACATAGTTATATGTGTAACTAAGCTATATAGCGTTTGATAACGACAAGCAAAGTTTGGAGAGCAAATATTTTCATAACATCTGACTGTTGCTAGATCATTGACCGAACTACACAATTATATTTAGTTCTTACTTTGCTGAACTGTTTTTGGGGGACCAAACCTCATTACTTAAATGGTCTGTTGATACCATAGCTATTACCATCTTCTTAGCCGCAATTGAGAATAATCTGTAGTCTTTCATAATGTCCCATTAATCGGACAGGAATTACGAAGTATTTTTTATCGCATCAGACTATATTTGATAACTGCACAGTTGGCGTGGTGGCTGGGCAACTGGCTGCCACAAAACGTGCAACGGTTTTGATTCCCGTACGGAGTAACTCTTTGTTGTTTCGGGTCTGGCTGTCTTATGTATGTGAAATTGTATGTTTGTAAACGTACCCGCAATGCAGAAGAAAATCCTGGTGTGAGGCAAAGATTTTAAATGGAAAAAAAATCTTCTATAATGAGAAAATGAGTTATTAGTATTCTTTTACTGATTCCAGATAATTGATAACTGTAAAGACTTCTCTGCTGTTTCCAGGACCTATGTCCTGTGCCTTTATGTACTTTGAGTAAAATTGCCTAGTTACCAAGTATTGGAAAACTTTCGACTACAAAGACCTAGGTACCTAAAGCTAGCTTCGTGAAAATGTGGGCGTTAGCTATAATTTCTCTGTGTACAATGGTGTCTACCCCTTCGGGCATTGCGTCATCGTAAAGGTCATGTTGCTGTTTTATTAGCCTTTAATGTGTATATGTACTCTTCTAATTAGGTACACAATTATCTAAGTACCTTTTCAGTTTATAGGTAGAGATATAGATTGGTTTTGAGACTTTAGAGAAAATAACTTCTCGGAAGGTTTTCAAATAAAGTTGCCAGGGTATGAAAATTAAAAATGTAATTAGTCCGTCGGTCGGTTAGATAATGAAAAACTATAAGACAGTTATTTTTTGTTTTCTCATATCAAGTTATAATACTTCGATAAAATGGAGTTAAGTTTACGAGTAGGAGGTCGTTACGTCACACGATATTTCAAATTAATATATCGTCGAAAGTATCATTTGTGTGTTAATGCTAATGTTTTTTTTTCATGGCATAAGCCAGTAAACGAGCAAATGGATCACCTGATGGTAAGCAATCGGCGTCGCCCATGGACACCTGGAACACTAGAGGCGTTACAAGTGCGTTACCGGCCTTTTGGGGATTAGGAGTTTGAGGATCGTTGGGGATTTAGGAATTGGGGAAATTGGGGAAGGGGAGGGTAAATGGGTCTCCGGTAACCTCACTCACACTACGAAACACAACGCAAGCGTTGCTTCACGTCGCTTTTCTGTGAAACCGTGGTATCACTCCGGTCGAGCCGGCCCATTCGTGCCGAAGCAGGGCTCTAAATGTTAAATTACCAGACGGACATAAAACAAAATTTAGCTAATTATCCTATTGGTGTTACTGAGTAGGAAAGTAAGAATTGTCTAGTCAGTTCAATGTAATAAAAATATTCTTTGTACTAACATTACGTGATGGTTACAGTGTTTATGAACAAGTAATAAACTTCTAAGACATTCGACTGATACACTACACCTACAATCTACAAGATAATAAAATTCAACTCCGTCGTGTAGGTTTATGAAGGTAAAATGAATACAAATAAGTTTGCTATGATTAATATACATCTGATCATAAGATTTTGATTTAATTAATCATTATTAAATACGGCGTACAAAGTAATTAATAATGAAGATCATTTACGAGAGCGGTGTAGCTCTATGAGATATTTCTGAGAAAATCTTTATTAGACATTTGGTTGTTTAAAATCGCTCATTTGGATGTTTTATGCAGACTCTTCGCTTCACCACCCTCCTTGGGCAGTGGTGGGAAACGATTGAACGATAATGTATGTAGGTGACTTTTGAAAGTCCAGCTATGTGAAATACGTGTAAATCCTCTCCGGTGAGTATTGTCTATAAATGCCCACTGCTGGGCAAAGCCTGTTTTCACACGGAGAAGGTTTGAGCATTAATCACCACGCTTGCTCAATGCGGGTTGGCGATTACAAACTTATAATTAGAAATTATGAGCCCAGGTTTCCTCACGATGTTCTCCTTCACCGTTTGTCAGTGGTGTTTAGATCTTAGAATTATAGGCTGTTAATGAGTATTGTAGGAATTATTTCGTTTTTGTTCATTGATGTGACCGAAATGCTGCTCCTAGTATATTGTCTAGCTGACAATCAATTGTCTAGATATTTAATTACATAACAGTTCCAAGGTGTTGTTTTCTAAATAATAATTAAATAATTAAAGCTATCATTGTATTACACCAACTCCACCAAAGCGTGACAATGTCAAGGGCTGTCCAAATTGTGGGTCGATTTGTCACGACAATAGTAACCTCATATTATTATTTGTGACCTTGTCTTGTTCGATGGTTTCTATAGAACCTTTGGTATAAGTGGGTATGCCATTGTATACCTATGGAGTTTGTGAACTAAGCCACACGTAATATTGCAAAATCCACGGACACATTTCAGCCATTATTGCTCACATACTACAACCGCTATCAATGCTCTTACAACAAAAACTAATAACTAAAACCAACAGGCGTGCCCTTCACATTCGCACTAAACACATCATGGAAAACTGAACCATTCTCGCTTGTGATAGAACTTAGTTTGCTTTGAACTTTAGTAGGAAGTCGTGAGTGTCAATTGTGCAGTCGGGTTTATTCCGCCGAGTAGTTCTAAAAATAAGATTCTTTGTATGTGCCTATGTGGGTAGTTTAGTGTTGGTCCCGTGACCGGACCTTGGCTATATTGCAAGTGGTATCCTATGTCGGTGAAGTGATAATGCCATTATGTTTAACATAGCTGGACTTTAAATTTATCGTAGTCGTCGCTTTAGTAGTGTCTTAAGAATTTTATATGATCTTTTTCAGTCTTATTATTGGCTTTAGATTGATAAAAGACAAAAATACAATTCTAAGCAATTGATGATGTGTTAGTGTGTTACGTACACAGGTATAGATTTGCCGAAGCTAACATAGAACGACTCCAATCGGGAAAAGGATACAATGGGATAAAAGTTGTCTCCGGGAAATACAATTTCCATTTAAAGGAATGTAATGTGAATACTAAGCCGGCTATCGATTCAGGGTGTTCGCAGATTTATCGCGCAGCCTTGTCCTGGCCTGCTGCCAGTGTCCGCGTATAACAAATACTGGGGCATGACTGCAACTGCCGACTTTACGTCATTTCCGAATTCCTGTTTTGTTGCAGCTTCGGATTATGAGCAAAAATATTTGCCCCTTTTAACATCGTGAGTAATTGGAACGATGATGACAGTTATGTTTGGATTAAAGAGCAATAAAACTTCATTTTTCAGCTCAAAGCGATACTGAGAAGTTTTATGTAAATAACAGAGACGTGGGCAGCGGACGCTGTTAATTGTTGCAATTCTTTTTAAATAATGACTATTATCTTGAGACCGTCCTTGTTACTGCGAATTCGTAAATACGTCTCAAATTGGGAGTATTTTTGCCAATTGCGGCTGCTAAATGGTTACGACTTGGTAACCAATTTTCATGCAATTTGTTCTAATTTGCGTCGTGCTAATTTCCAGATTTGTGAAAGACCTGGAGGATGGTTTCGTCCGTCACCGGCCGACGGCGCGGCTCCGGCAGTCTGCGTCCATGGGTGCGTCTACTTCGTACAATGAAGTGATACCGCCTCCGTTGCCTCCGCCGCCGGTGGGTCTCACCCAGGGTAGGCGGGTGGATACCTCCCTCAGGCGTCTGGAGCGCACTCATGATGACCTCTTCCAATTGTAGCGGCCGAGGCAGCGCAGGTATGTGTTACTGAAACGTAGTTGCTTCCAGATTTCACGTGGCTTTTCTTTCTTTAATAAATGCGAGTGCATAAACCTCATCAAATTGCCCCATGGCTGGAAATTAAGCAAATAGCGCTACCTACTACTATACCTACATATTTCTTAGCTTACATTGCATACAAACTTTATTTAAGTACTAAACGAATGGTCCAACCACGCAGTTCTGGTGCGGCGCCGACTTCAAAGCTCATCTATGATGTATCTCTTCAAACATTCAGATGCAAGATTTTATTGCAAACAACTCAAATCTCAATGCTAAATTCTCGTTCTTCTCAAAATAGCTAGTGGCTCCGAAAAGTAATATTAAATGTTATGTTTCCATTGACATAGTTCATTCGCTGCCCATCAGTTTTACGTCCCAAATGTTGTGTTAACATTTATGTTGAATAGTCTGTATGTTGTTTTTATCGCGATGCTAGCGGCTCTGACGTCATTTGCGGTTGCTCTTAGATCCTAAACTTCTAGATCGGTAATGCATATTTTTATGGCACCAATCCTCTTGAGTGGGCCATTCTTTTTATAAGTAAGTATTTGTAATTTTATAAGAATGTAACTGTTGCGGTTTTTGATATTTTCACTTTATTCGTATCTAGTTCTAAGATATTTAAGGTAAATGACCTCATTGCTGATAAATTGTCTTGTAAATGATACTCTCATTACCTAAGTGTGTTAACTTTACAGGTTGACGTACTTGTGTGTTTGCTAGGTGTGTGAATGTAAGTCGCTTAGGGAATAAAAGTAGAAATTGTAGCACTTAAATCACTCCCACACTATTTTAAATGTGGGAGAGCCATGCTTCGGCAGGAATGGGCCGTCTTGACCGGTGTGGTATCACGGCTTCACAGAAACCCGACTTCAAACAACGCTTGGTTTGTGTTTCGTCGTATGAGTGAGGTTACTGGAGGCCCAATTACCCCCTCCCTAGTCTCCCGAATCCCCGAATCCTCCACAATCCTCAAATTCCCAATTGCTAAAAGGCCGGTAACGCATTTGTAACGCCTTGGTGTTTCGGGTACCATCAGGTGATCGGTCTGCGTCTATTTACCGGCTTAGGCTACAAAAAAAACTCAATCTACAAGCAGACATAAATAGTGTCTCATAAAGGCTCACTCACGTGAGCTTCTCCAAAAATTCTCCACTAGTTTTAAGTCATTCCAGGAATCCAGTGAATACGAGATTCACTAGGAGCGTGGTACCAACAAGCCAATACGAAACTCCTTATAACTTGAAACTGATAAAAAATGTAGATAAAGAGAAAGAGAAGAAGTAAGAGAAGTATGCCAGAATCGTGTTATTTAGCGTTTTATATTATCTTTGCCCTATCCCAATGGGAGACAGGCGATAATAATAACAATTAGCTTTCCCCCCGACTTTGTCCGCGTAGAATAATGACTTATGGCACAATTTGGATTTTCTTTTAACAGTCAACAAATCGAGTTACATTATCGAAATACACGGTTTCCTTATTTATCTCTTTTTAAATATAGCCTAAATATTGTCTTTCGCCTTTGTCCAGCTGTGGACGTCTTTCGACTGATGATGATGGAGCCTATTAAATTCAAACAAATCCTTACTAATATTATAAATTGGAAAGTGAGTTTGTTTGTTTGTTCTACTTTCACACCGTAACCTATTAAACCGATTGCTTTGAATTTTTGCAGACGTAAAGTTAGAAGTCTGGATTAAATAATAGGGCACTTTTTATCCCGGAAAAATTTGATATTCCCGAGGGAAATCAAAAGTATTGGTATAGATGGCGCTGTGTGTATTGGTATATGTCACATAGGCTACTTTTTATACTTTGTGACGCGAGCGAAGCCGCGGGTAAAAGCTAGTAAATAAATAAAACATCCAATCTTTCCTCTTTATAGTACTAGTGTAGATTATATATTATCATTTTCGGTCGTCCACCTATTAGGGACAGTCTTGCAGACTAAGTCGAAATCAAGACGAACATACTACACTATTAATCTATGACTATACATTAATATGAGTCCGTTGCGCGTGACATACAGCCGTTATAAAATTGTTAATTGCGACATAAGACGCGTTTATGACGAGGCTGTTATATTGTTATCTAACTTTAAAATACCAAGATATATTTTGATGATGCCTTAAAGATAAGTGTCGATGATTGTTGGTTAATGATAATTTAGTCAATTCATATTAGTGTTAAGTGTAAATTGATTGTTGTAATATAACTTCTCGATTTATTTGCGTACTAGCTGTGCCCACGACTTCGTCCGCGTGGAATAGTTATTCACAGCTCCTCCCTGGTAAGGGGCCGTTCAAATATTACGTAAGCAGATTTTTTACAATGATTTACCCCCCCATCCCCCTTGTCAGCAAAAGTAAGCGAAGATCTTACCCCTCCCCCTTTGCTTACGTAAAAATTTTTAAATTATATCTTTTTTATACGTATTGTAGTTTTAATTAATATTCTCTTAGATACCATAATGTCTAGTTCTTTGTCGATTTTTGCTTGTAATTTATAATTTCAACGAATAAAAAAGTAAATAACTACCGATGACGTAATTATCATCTAGACTCCCCTTTTTTTTTTTAAGGGGGGAAAATCATCGAATGACTGCTCCCGCCTGGGTGAGGCGGGAGGGAGTGTCAGACTCTTACTGACTAAAAACCACCCCGTTCCTTCTCCTGCACGTCGAGCCGGAGCCCCGGTTACCCGTTAGGTTCTCCGCGACATCTAGACTCCCCTACCCCCATATCATCCAAAATAAGCGAAACAGATACCCCCTCACTCCCCATGGTGCTTACGTAATACTATACTACGTTTAGCCCGGACATACATACAGACAAAAATTCGAAAAAACATATTTTTGCTTTCGGTAACGACTGTAGATCACGCCCCAAGCATTGTTTTAAAAAAATATTCAATGTACAGTTTTCACTTTTCTCCGATTTTAATATACTATATATCTCATTTAACCTCCTGTCATATAAAAAAGATTTGTCTTTCAATTTGTTCCAGTAGTATTGGATAGTAATTTCTCTGATAATCTTTCCAGATAGTACATTAATCATCATATTTATAGATATCATTTTTAAATAAAAGTTGTATATATTTTCTACACTTAATCAGTTAACACATCTATACATATAATAAAATCGTAGGAAAGTCAAAACTGTATTTTGAATATTTAAAAAAAAATCCTTGGGGCGTGATCTGCAATCGATACCGAAGCCAAAAATATAGCTTTTAGAATTTTTGTTTATCTGTATGTGTGTCCGGGATAAACTCAAAAAGTACTGCATGGAATTAGCTACGGGAGAGGAGCTGTGAAAAACTATTCCACGCCGACGAAGTCGCGAGCACAACTACCATACTATATTGAGTGTAATTATCTTATCATTAATTAATGACTAATCATTTAATCTATATTATACAATACGTCTCAGTCTACGTAAATAAATCATCTATGTAAAAAGATGATGAATTACCAACACCACGTATCTACATATAGAAGGACTGCACCAAATTGGATTAATATTTTCATTTGTAAAAGATGAAATCGATCAGTTACCTCGGAATAATAGGGTATTTTCTTAAATTTTATTTTAATGTCCGTCTGGTACATTAATTTAAAACTTTAGACACGTATTTTTTCTTTTCTCACAAAATTAAATACTTTCGACGATATATTAATTTGAAATATCGTGTGACGTCACAGCGTACCACATTTTGTAGCACGTTATGACGTAACGACCTCCCACTCCTAAACTTAGCGCCATTTTATCTAAGTATTGCAACTGGTGTTTGACAGTTTAATACGAGAAAACAAAAAAATACGTGTCTAATATTTTTTCATTATCTAACTGACGGACTAATTACATTTTTATTTTTGTTAACCTGAAAACTACCCAATTGTTGTGCAAAGCCGGAGCGTAACACATTTCTAATGTATCATCGAATCAGTTAAATGCTTCGTTTTATGTACAATCAGTCAAGTTGTTTGATACGCATATGATTTAAATTATTTATACGGAGATAGTTAGATAGAGATGTTGTTACAGTAAATTGTATTGTTAATCTTGCTCTTTGGTCTTTGGCCTGCATTAATCATTTTTTAAATTTCAGTACACGCCACGCCATATTTTATATCTTATACTATTGTATAAAGCGGAAGAGTTTGTTTTTTTGTTTGTTTGTTTGAATGCGCTAATCTCGTAACTACAAGTCTGATTTGAATAATTATTTTTGTGTTGGATAGCGCATTTATCAAGGAAGGCCATAGAATATTAAACATCACCCTACGACCAATAGGAGCTGAGCAGAGCGTGTGAAACCGCGCGGAAGTAGCTAGTCAAATATTAAATGGATACTTGGCTGGCTGTACATTGTCAACAGTTTGAAAGTAAGATTAAGTGGCTTTTTAATGGTAAGATTCAAAATATAAAATCTTGCAATGCTTTACTGGACGATCCAGGAAGAGTGGCCATTATAAAATTAAGCCATTTATGTATTTATGAGATACTTTGAACTGTTCCAGGTATGCGCGGTTACAATGAACGCGATGAACCTGCGCTGTGCTGACGCCACAGCGGTCGGTCGTCCACGGTCACGGCAGCGGTCGTGTCGCGCGATCGTGTCGCAGATCGCAGTCGCACTGAACACTCAAGTACAGTCGGTGAGTCAGTCGTGAGGGCACTAAGTGATATTAGATTACTATATTCTTAATATTATTGTGCATAATTTAAATAAAATCTTTAAAATCAAACGTCTATATGGTTTAGTCAGGATTTGTTATGAATCTGTATAGTTTTTTTTTATTATCTATGGCCTACATCGCAGTGTGAAAAAATTGCGTGATTTTATTTTTAATGTAGTCCTGTTACATGAATTCGTCGTTATAGAAGCTCTGTTAGCTGTGTAAAACCCATCTACTATTTGTTAAACACTGACAATAAAATTCGCGCGTTTTAGTAGCACTACAACGTAGGCTTCGTAATCCTGACTATAAATTCATTATAGTATGATCATTCAGCGTTTATTGCACTCTAGGAAAATCATATACCACTTTTGACGCAGTCGAGTAATCAGATATGATGACCTGTTTACTATCAACTAATAATTATGCGCGTCAATGAGTGTAATTAATGAAAAATGTAGGTAAAAGTGTATATATACATATATATGCGAACTGATAAATATATAATATAACCTACATAAATAAGATTTGATATAAAAATCAGTGTCGATAAGGAAGTGTTATATTCTAGATTTTGGTACGCATTGCGGTAGTATTGGTTGTATGAGAAGTGTTATTCAAGTTTTAGTATGTTGCTTTAGGTTATTCAGTTTAATATCTTTCTTTGGATTTTATTTGGAGTCAGCCTTCCTAGTACCTTTGAGCTACTCAACTTTATTTTGAATCCCGCAACTAAAGTTTGTTTTTATGTACTTCATGCTGATACGCTGTGATGCTACGTAATCATGATACACAAAATATATTTTATCAGATTGAAGTAAAGTATCAAAGATCAATAATGACGGGGGAGAGAAAATATTTATTCCCCTCTAAGCCGTCTAGCATAATGCTAAAACACACTATTAACTGTTACTCAAAAATGCTATCCTTGTAAGTCGATATCTAACAATCTCCAAATCATTAATCCCCATTAGGCCGACAGCGCACTTGTAATTCTGTGGTGGTTCTTTTCTTTTTTGATGGTGGAAAATCATCCAATGACTTCTCTCGGCCGGGTGAGGCGAGAGGGAGTGTTAGACTCTTACTGACTAAAAACCACCCCGATCCTACTCCTGCCTTCGAGTCGGATCCCCGGCCACCCGGTAAGTCTTCCGCGGCTCCGTATCGGCAACAGCCCTATTGGGCTCCATCCGTGATCGTCTGATGGCTCCTTGAGGCGCGCGCGAAACGCATCGAGCCGTACGCTCGAGTCTGGTTCTGGTCGGGCGGCGAGTCACCCATGCTCATCGTCCGCCAGCCGTGCTTACGGTGGTCGGAGATGGTCCCCTATCCCTGAAGCCCTGAGTGTCTCTCGCGATGGCTGATGCGTGAGGAGGTTCGTTCCCTTCCTTCACGCGCCCAGCCACTTCCTTAGCTAGCATGACTACTTCGCAGAAGGAGGACACGGCATCCCAGTCCCCCTCGCTCCGTACCATGGACATAGACACCCGTCTAAGGGAGCATCAATTGTTACTTACAATCATGACAAGTCTGCTCGTTGGTTGCACTATCAAAAAAAAAAAACAATTTCTTTCATATAATATCTAAACAAAGGAAATGTTACGCAATGGACCTATTGTCCTGATTAAATTATACTTCTAGTAAAAATATAAATAAGAAATCTCAGCCTCACGCGACTCATCGTCTCAACGTGATATATAACTATGATACATAATAATATAACGTTTTATTATAATAACATTTATTATGTATATTGATAATAATATAATATATTGTAGCTACTGGGGCTTGACAACATGTGGTCAATGTTGTAAAGATTTTTAAAGAATCTGTAATTTGCGATTGTAATAGGTGTTGAATATATAAATGAAAAGATATAACTTATTAAGATTTAAATTGAAAGATTAATCCCCGTGAAAATCCACTGCTGGAATATTGGTCACAGACCAGTGTCTGTGACCAATATATGAATATACCAATGTATGACTGTCATACATAGAGGAGTTAGTCATTTTCTTGGAATCTCCTCCCGGATTGGAGATCGCAGTATGAAAGGGTCAGGTTCAAACTGCTAAATTGCGAGTCCTGGTAGTCGACTCTTACGAATGAGATGGAGAATAGTAGGCCGATAGTAAAGAGAGAGAAGGAGTGATACAGAACGGATCTTTAGCTACATTTATTTGCAGTTTATTGTCCACATGTTATCAAGTTCGTATCAAACGTCCCTATATCCGTTATACTTAGTGTATAAACTATATAAATAACTCGTGAGGCACTAAATACATATGTACGTGTTGTTGAGCTTAATTTGTATGTAAAAATTAATAAATAACATAAATAACTTAGCGGTAAATAGTATAAGTTGTAATTTGTATAGTTTAAAGAGTGTACATGTTTAAACCGTTTGATTGTTACTGCTTTTATTGATGTGTAAATGTGTATATCAAGAGTAATTGATAGACAATTCTATATATAGTTTGTAATAAAAATGTCCTATCCATGTATCGTGTTAACTACTCTATATATATACCCTGTTTATAGTCTATATTTGATGTCTATTTAGTCGTGTCTACGTTGTAAAGGCCATCTGTTATCCTTCGCCATTAATACAAGTCTATATACTGTATCATATTATTATTATGTAGTGTAAATATTACTAACCTCTGTCACAAATTATGTTTAATTTGAACAAATTTTTAACTATACAGTCCTAGATATGAGGATATAAAGTTATTTTCATTTAGCAGCGTCCAAAATCGGTCCAAAACGTCTCCATTTTAATTAATTATCTTGATTCTTCGTGCAAAAAGGAGTATGATAAAATTGCCGCCAAAACGTTTCATATGTCAATGTCATAAGTGACAGATCATGCACAGATTATTAATAATGCTAAATCACATTGTTCACGTTTTTCCCGAGTGTTGGCGGCAGTTGAGAGAAAATATCTTTTTGATTTTTAATAAATCATAATATGTCTACTCTTTGTACATACAAGGCAATGAATTTTAAATTGTTTTGTTTTATATGTTGTCGTTTATATGAAAACAAAAAAGAACTGTATGTAATATACTTTTATTTTTATATACAGACTAAATATAACGGGGGAATTTGAAAATCTGTGGTTCAAACTTACATTATGTTATGCCAAATATAATTGTTCGGTAGAATTGATATTTTACTTGTTGATGCCAATATTAAAGAAAATGATGAAATTTTTGCAATCTTTTATACGACATGGTAATTTTATTAACAATTGTTATAATTTAAACCTTGTGAATGTCACAACATAGTTTTATTTTCAATGGATATTGTTTTAATATATGCCTTTGTCAAATTTATTGTTATATTATATTGTGTGTCGAAAATGCAAAAGAATGTTCATCGTTAGTTCTGTTTTCTTTAAATTGGCATCTGGAACAAACATTTCATTAAAAGATTTGGAAAATACGAGTCTAGTATATCTTAATTATTGCAGTTAAAGTTTACGATATCAGTGCCTTGTGATAGCTAATGAAACTTCCAATAGACTAGCGGTAGCAGCTATAAAATATAATGTTCAAATTCTGACTAAAGAATTGACGTCCTATTAACGAATATTTGACAATAGAACTAATGGGGTCTATCGTTTTTGCACTCAGGAGGTGGCGCCACTGTCGAATAAAGTCTTCTCAATCAAGTCTAAAGCCAATTTTTTAAGGTATTTCAATTTGACCTGACATATTTTAATTTATTTTATCATAGTACCTGTCTGTCATTTTCTAAGTGAAGATAGCATATTTTTATAGAAGTGCTTTTTAATTAATGGTAGACTTATTCTACACTAGCGCCCTCCGCGGTTAGTTTAAGTACGACAGTTCTCAGTAGTTCCAGAAACAGTAGCATCTTAACATGATTTTCCACGGGGCGAGGTATTAAACGAGTATGCATATTTTAGTAATGATTTTACACTGTATTAATAAGCGTATAAAAATCAAATTTGCTAATCAACCAAGATTTAATAAGTTGTTGTAAGCAGCAATGCTATAGAGTTCAATCTTGTTTGACGAATTTGCGTGATTATTCATACGAGCACCGTGGGAAATTAGCTTTTAAAATAAATTCAATATCGAATCTAAAGTAGGTTGCAGATATTTTTAAATATTGTGAATGCCGTCTCATTCATAGCATAATGAAAAGAAATAATATGTTTATGCACTATATCTAACTACATTTCTGAAGTATCTACTTTTTATTTCTTTATTAATTTTCAAATGTTTCGCAGCTTGTATTTTACGAAACAGTTTTATTTTCTTAATTTTTTTTTTAGTTCTTTTAAATAGGGTAAAGTTATTTATTTGGTTTTTAATACAGTAAACGATGGAGAAAATTTTGTAAAATACACTACACACGGTTATTATATTGTACTGTTATTACTGGTGCTAATATTATTTGACGTTATTAAACTTCAGTTATTAAAAAAATTACGAACTTTTGTCTCTAAATTAATTGTGTAATAACAAGAAAATCAATATTAAAATATAAATAAATATACTCTTCTGGCCTCTTGTAATATTTATTTTAAAATATGTAATAAAAAGTTTCTAGTCTTGTATACGTCATCGGGGTTCTTAAAATGCAGCCAGTTACGCTTCGCTTATTTTGAAAATAGAATCTAAGCTTCTAACTTCTGCGTATGTTGAAGACCTCTTTTATCTTTTGAATGAAGAAATAAAGAGCTATGGCGTGTTTTGGGAACCTCTAAATAAATAAATATCGAATATAACAAAGTTTAAAATGTTATGATAGAATCCTTTGAGTTATGAATGTGATTTTCCAATAAAATCCACATATTAATGATATAATTATAGCAAAATTTGGACGTCTAGCATAGGTCATTGTAAATTTTTGTATAAAGTCGTTGTTTAGTGTGTCAAAATTGTATAATAGCGAACAATTTGTTAAAACTTTCATTTGCCGATTAGTGTATGCTTTTTATTATCAACTTCTTTTTATTTATTTATGCTAGTTAAGCTTTAATAAATCATATTTTATTACTCGTTTCATGGTTGTTTTATTTGTCGTATATCCAATCTAGAAATACACAGATTCTTTATATATTAAAGCATAACATAAAAAAAACACACATAACATCACGCCTTTTATCCCCGAATGGGTAGGCAGAGGTGCACACAGAAGTAACACCCACTTTTCACTATTTATGTTATGAGTCCCATGTAATAGGGGGTGAGCCTATTGCCATATACCGGGCACATTTCCAGACTCCGTGCTACTACTGAGATTTTATTTTACTTTTATTTTTTTTAATACCCAGTAATACTTTGCCCGACCCGGGAATCGAACCCGAGACCCCTTGCCCAGCAGTCGCACTTGCGACCATTCGGCCAGCGAGGCAGTCATATATTAAAGTCATAAATATTACGAAAACTAGACGTCTTAGCTAAAAAATAGCAAATTTTCAAACCACCCTAGACATACCTATACACTGACATCCATCGTAGACCGCATCATCGCTTATCGCCAGGCGAGACAGTGGTCAAACGTCGGCCCATCAAATATAAAAAAAAATGTAAATAAATATTTCATGACTAATGGAGAGGCGGCAATGACCCTAGGTGTAGTGGGCCTACTTATCTTCCGAACGTACGCTAATTTAATTATTAAAAATAAATTCAGTTACCTAACTTATTCTGAGTGCCTGGATGGCCGAGTGGTCGCAAGTGCTGGTAGTTGCACTAGGCAAGGGGTCTCGGGTTCGATTCCCGGGTCGGGCAAAGTAATACAGGGTTTTTTAAAAAAAATCTCAGTGGTAGCACGGAGTCTGAAAATGTGCCCAGCATATGGCAATAGGCTCACCCCCTATTACATGGGACTCATAACATAAATAGTGAAAAGTGGGTGTTACTTCTGTGATAAAAAGCTTACCCCTTCAGGGATAAAAGGCGTGATGTTATGTATGTTAACTTATTCTAAAGTACCAGGACTTCATAAAGTAAGTAGTAGGAAATGTGGGTAAGAATTACTTTTAGCTCGACTTTTTTTTTAATAAGATGTTAAATAAATAAAAATCCAATTAAAAATACCAACTGTGTAAATTTTATTTTCTGGATATAAACATAATTACATTTAGTTCCATACCTACATATTTACAGAATTATTTACATTTTACAAATAGGCATCTGGTGTAGGTACCTCAGGTACTATCAAAATGTTATTTACAAATTGAACAATATTAACAATACTTGGCACCACCTTGAGATTTTCGGTCAATTTCTCGGAAGAAGTTGCTGAAATCCAGGGCCATCGTATCCTGACCTTCTCTTCGGATTTCAGAGTCCTATTAGACACATTTTGCAAAATTTTTCCTCTAGCTCGACATTCCTATCGGTCCTCAATGTGCGAATGTTATGTATTGCCAGGGCCAAAGTTCGTTGGGGTTGGTAGCAGTTCATCTGCCGGGAATTCTTAGCACCCCTTTAGTTACCTGATCTGCTACCTAGATCAGGAATGGCGGAGCTTTCGGTTACTGGGACCTGTGTACCGGCTCGTAATTCATAGTGAAGGAGTAGGAGATTACTATAACCCCCTTGCTTGGCAGACTGCTGATCGCAGTTTGGTCACCCGTATATTTAAGGGCGTGCTGCTGATCATTCGCAGCCTGGTCGCAGATTTAGGACGTACTCAGGCCCATAAACAAAGCGAAATAAAGGAGATATGGTGGACGAGGATCGACCCTTAGGAAAGCCGTACTGTATCATCCAAGCAAGTACCGAAGCAGCTGACAATTGAGTATCGATTCAATTATAGTACTTCTTAGGTTAAGCAGTACTCCTTTTTCAATATGCAGCGCAGGACCAGAGAGGATGGAATGAAAAGCTCCAACCTGCAGCACCACATCGGCTACAGAATCAGCAGCGGCGTTGGGATCATCCAGTCAAAAGGATCACATCCTATCCCAATTCGCTGACTTGTAGTTCCAAACGCGATGGCCACGTGTACTCGTTCGTGTAGGGCACCGTATTTTGGATGCAAGGCAATGATCTGAAGACGCGAGTGGACCGTCAAAAGATACATTATGTCCGTTCGTAAGAGAAGTTAGAGTTTCGTAGAAGGTGAGGCATAGGAAAACCTATGCATAGGCATAGGCTTGTAGTCGTCCAAAATGGAATTTGCGTGGGTGTGGTAATCAATTGTGTTGGGTCAGAAGTAAGGGCATAGTCACGAACAGATCTATGCGTAGTCACTTCTACTGGAACAGAGACAGTTAAACGAGAGGGCGTTAAAGCCACCAAATAAAACGTTTCTGCTGAGGGTACCTGCAGCTGCACAACCATCTGGATGTGCTTCATGAGTCGCAGGCCTGGCTATCACCCACCACCCACCACTACAGACGTGTGGATGTGGGGATAGTTCTTGCTATCTGTAGATACATGTATGTAGCCAAAAGGTGGAGGTTTCTACCTTCAAGATTACTGAGGCGACGAGGGTTGATATCGGCCCTGACATGCACGCACACCTCGACCTTGGGTAGAAAGGATATTTTCAGTTCATAACCAGGCTATGGGTGAGGTAATAAGGGTGCAGTTCCATTGAGACGGAGCGGAGCAGAGCGGAGAAGAGCTGTGCCGCGATTCACCCATCAACTACAACCAATTTAGCGGAGTGGAGAAGAGATGTGGATTTCAAGCCATGTGATTGGTGAATCGCGGCACAGCTTTTCTCCGCTCTGCTCCGCTCCGCCTCAATGGAACTGCACCCTTAGTGTCTGACCGGCTTTGCTGTCTCGAGGTAGTGGTGAACAGTGTTGAGGTTGGTATGTGATTCCCTGATGTTGCAGAAATCCATGGCCAGCATGGCGGGGGTGTCAAAGTTTTGTTCTGTGCATTCTGAGATTTTTTGTCACTCCCCCGCATGCTTTTCCTCAGGGCGGCTTGGGACGTCTTGGCAGGAACTTTCCAACGCTAGCGCAGTCGGTACCCTCCTGGGGTAAAATGGTGGTAAGAAACTGAGCCAGTATAGTTTGGTCGCTGTTGTCCTCACTCATTCTGTAAAACACAATGCGAGCATTGTTTTCTCTGGCTTTTTGTGAGGCCATGGTATTACTCCGATCGAGCCGGCCCATTTGTGCTGAAGCATGGATCTCCCACGTAACAAAATAGTAAGTATTTCATCTACAATTAATACATAATAATAAAATTGGAGGCTACTTAGTATCTATGTAAAATAATGAATTATTTTGTTACTGGTCAGTACCTGCTGATTACCTACGATCAATGTTACCTTGAAAAACATAAATAATAAAAAAACACAACTTAATTATAGAGTTATCTTTGGTTCACTTTCATAGTAACATAATTTCTGCTCATAATGAATCCTGATTAATGTATAGTCACCTATTATTGCAATACATGTATTTTATATTTTTGTATAACTATTATTAAAACACATTACTTTAAAAAATAATTTAGACCGATCTCGGCCAACCAAACTTCAAGGATAGAATGAACTGAAGTCTCTGCGCTGAACAGAACATTGGTATACCCTGATTTGATACAATTTTACAATCATAACAATTTATTACTACATATTTACATTACTACATCTTACATAGTCAGATTTGTTCCCTGTTTTCATATTATCAAGTTACTTACAACTACACATTACAATTACATGTCTGTGCACTAAGTGGGTGCTTCCTCTATCTGTTGCGGACAGTTGTTAGCGACGCGGCTGGGCGTCCTGTTCAGTAGGAAGTCCAGGTCGTGGGATATCTTGTGGAGCACTTTGTCTGTCTGTGTGAATGTGCTGTGTGTGGTGGGAGTTTGGGACTGTGTGTCTACGAGCTGCAGATGGGAGTTATTCTGCTCGTTGCTCTCGTGGTGGATGGACGGCAGTGACGTGCTCCACGATAGTTGAGGCGGACGTTTCTTGAGGCAGCTCTTGATAGGACGAGGTACTGTGTTCACTGCTGACACGTCAGGGTTAGATTGAGTGCAGATTTTACAGCTTTCCTGGAAATTTTCAATGGCATCATATCACCACATACTTCCTTTAACAACGTCCTAAAAATTGTGTTAAGTTGTATTTAAAGCTACCTTGGGTGTGTCAGACGAGTCTCCAGTGTACGGTTGTTTGTGTGACTCGGCAGGTATTGGCGGCGATGTAGGCAACACACGCAACTCGACACACACGTGGGAGACGTGTGACTGGTTACCCATGCACGAGCCCGCACCACCAGCTGAAATGGTACCACCAGTTCATTAGTTTATTTTTTGAAAATAATGTCCACAACTGACAACAAGTCCCTATCACTTACTTGATTAAGACTTGAGACTCATTTAGCAAAAAGTCAGGAGTAATAAAATCCATGCTCTATGATGACATGGTTATGACCTATGTCTCTGTACGTACAATAAACTCGTTACCTGTAGGTATGAGGTCGCAGAGAGCTCGAGTCTCCGTAACTCGTGGTGGTAGTAGTGCCTGCTTGTACTCCACGCAGCGCACTATGTCCGCCACACACGCACCGCTCGACCCGCGCCTGATCACACCAAATATGTCAATTATATTACACAGTTCTATGACTACCAGGTACTGAACAATAATGTAACTCTAGCTCACCGATGCAAGGGGCTCTGCAGCGGAGTGGCGCGCCAGTACGTGTTGGCGGGCGACACGTGGGACGAGGAGCACTCCAGCGAGCCTACTGCACCGCGACACTCCATCTCTCGACCTTGTCTTATGTACACTACAACACAGTCAACAATAGTTCATTTAGAATTCTGCATATCTCCACAAGTAGACCATCATCATGATAATTGCTATACCATTATCGGCAACTTACAACTAAGTGATGTGTCTCCCTCTGTAGTACCCTGCCATTCGTTGTGTGTGGAGAGCGTGAGCAACCGTCGAGCTGCTCGTAGACACTCCTCGTCGCAGATCAGGTAGCAGATTAACATGGCCAGACCCTGGACAAATAAGTTACAAGTAAGAACTTGGCTTGGGTTGTTTTAAAAACTGTCTACGAATTGAAGTATTCTATTCTTTACTTACATTAGCTAACGAAGCTATAGACAGCGATACAACGAGAGACATGGTCCTCTCGCCTGGCTGCGCATACGCTACTCCTGCAGCCTGTGTCGCTGTAGTAGTGAAGAGTAGTACTAATGTATGGCGCACCACTCGCGCTCTCTCCCGCACGTATTCTCGTCTGTCGGGCGGTAGCTTGTGTGTCACCTGGAAAGCATAGAAGGACTGTCAATTTACTCTAATATGCGAACTCTAAAGTATGCGTGGAACATTACTTAAGATTTTATTGTATCATACATGCATATGTCTATTAATAATACAAATGTCCTTTTTGAGATGACATACTTGTAGGTCAAAAGGTATAAGCTATGCTTACTGTCCGTAGCGTCCTAGCAGCACAGAGTGCGAGGCAGAGTGTGAGTGCTGCTAACAACGCGGCACCAGCTCCACAGACTACATTAGCGGCCGCACCCAACTGAAGAGGTGCTCCGCCCCACAGCCGGGCTGTTAACCAACACATTGTGCTCACACCTGAAACAAATTTGCCATGATCTGATCATTTTAATCTAATCCTATATTTTCAAAGTCTTTGATAGTGTGGGTTCCTATGAAAAAAAAACCAGAAAGACCCTTACCTGCCAGTAGACCTACGGATGGTGCTCGAGTAGCTGTGGCAGCCAGTTCAGTGTGTAGAAGCAATGGTTGTGCACATAATGCGGCACAGCCGGCACACCAGCAGGCTGCCACTGCCCAGCCCAATGGTCCAACGCATGCAGGCGGCTGTGGACACGACGGCAATTATACACACAAATGCACAACAAATGATGATGATGTAAAACATAAAAAACACATTTTGAAACTTAAAACTCACATGTCTGGTATCACATTCCAACAAAGCTAGCAGTGAAGCTGAATGTGTGGCAGCTGTAGCAGCTTTCAGCATCACAGGTAGCTTGGTCTCATTTCCTGCGACTAGGCTTAGCAACTGCAGTAACGCTGCCACAAGACACATTGCACTTCCCAGGCTCACTGTGATTTTAACAATACCTCGAAGGTCCGTTTCGGAGTCTGTCTGAAAAAACAAATAAGTGTTACATCAGGATCAGTATGAAGCTTAGACACCATATGCAGAAGCAAAGTAGAAAACAACGCTTGATTGGGATGAATGGGCCATATTAGTACTTAAAGGCCAAGACTCTCGTTGGGTAGCTTAGGCAATGGAATAAGTTAACTACAAGATGTACGCAGTACTCACGAGTGAAGAGCTGTCCACAGTAAACAGAGCAATAGTGGCGAGTCCTCTGCAGCGGCAGGCGACATGAGTATGCTCTTGTATGCGCAACTCACAAGTATGGGAGCTCCACACGCGTGGCGAGGAACGCGACCGGCTCCCACAAGAAAGCTGAGGCGCTAATGAAAGACCTGGTTTTAGTACATTTTTAGTCATCCGCGATGTTCCAGAAGTCGTGAAACTTACCATTAGCGCTGTAATTCTTGGAATGTGCGAACAACAGTGTAACAATATGAGGAAGCGTAGGGTCCACTTCCGCACCGCTGACGGATACTTGTACTTGTTGCGAAGCTACTGTATATTGTGTCGCACAGCCAGACCTGGAAGAGTTGCCGCTAGAGCTATCTCGATACAAATAGGAACAAAAAAAAAAAATTAACAAAAAATAAAAATAAAACACCAAAGAAAAATAACAAAGAAATCCTTACTTGTACTCGATGTATCTTCGTAACGATGGCAGCCGTGCTCCCAAATTGTGGTACAGTACAGTCGCCACGGTAGTGTTGGTGGCCTTGGCAGTCAATTCGACTCCTACAGAAGTCGCGAACCATTCCTCATTCCCCAAAAATGGTTGAAGATCGAAATACGCTGCAATATCATTGTGTGCTGCTTTCGTTTTGACTGTAAACTCCTGGAAACGCTTGTCGAAGTTATTCTTCAGGCCAGCTGTGTCCATCACAGCATTTTGAAGATTGAAGACTTTCTATCAAAAAAACGAATGTATTAAACAGTTGATTGACGAATGTTTCTTCATTGTACATTATTGTTCTGCTGTTACTAACCTCTTCATCCAGGAAGGCATCAGGGTGTTTGAGCAGATTGTCGTATATATTAAGCAGATGCTCCGCGCTGTGGTATCTATCAGTTGGTTGGGCGGCAGGAGACATGAGGTAGTTGAGCATGTGCACTGCGTGTGTGAGGGGAGGCTCGCCCTCGCCCGGGTGTGTGGGCAGCGACCGCAACACTGCACCGTACTGACGAGACACGTGCGACACAGAGCTCCACGAGTATCCCATCGATATCAACGTGAACTGACAACAATATTTTGATATCAGATATTTATATTTGTACACAAAATAATGTATCTATGATAATCTCATTATATCTACATACCTGTTCATAAATATCCCTCAGTGAGTCAGCAACACAACCGGAAAAATCTGGCTGTCTCCATTTGAGGCCATGCTGTCCTGTCTTCGGCTCACAAAACCTGAAAGTGACCATTTTATTGATATTTTATCGTTGAATAGAAGCCCTATCTTCTTGTAAATTGTATAGTGACCTAGTTGTTTCTCCACTGTGTCCAGGTGGACAAGATGCAGTTGCATGTGCTCCAGGAGCGGTTTTCGGCCAACGCAAGCCGTGCGAGGTGTCGCTTTCGCATGCCGCGTCGTCAGTTCCCAGAGCCCACATGGTTACCGCTTTGGCATTGGTACCAGCTACTGATGAAACTTGACATCGGAACTCACTGGATTTCTGTACAAAAACAGGTCTATTTATACAATTCTGTACCTGATTAAAGTGAAAACCAAAGTAATAGATTGTTTGGTGTACCTGTACATTATAAAGCTTCAGCACACTGCCTGCTGGATAAAGATCCTCCCAGACTTCTCTACCTGGTGCCATAGGTAGCAGAGTCCTCTCTCTCGCCCAACTGAATCCAAGAGCACCGTGCACTCGTCCAGCTCCCGCCAGACAAGTAATACTTACATTGTCACCCTGGAATAAATAAATAAATAATATAGTGTAGTATAAATTCTTGAAGAGAAGAAATAATGCTCACAGATTTAATGAACTTACTTTATGAACAGTCAAGGTGGACGGCACTAGGCGTATCTCAGGCGGTCTTAGCACCGTCAGTCTTAACGCTCTGCAGCGTCTCCTACCAGCATCGTCTGCTGCACAGGACCACTTGCCGCTGTCCAGTCTTTCCGCTTCTGATACACCTAGCACTGACAAACGACGACCGAGTGCGTCTTCTGCAACTGTTCGCGTCCAAATGTCTCTGAAAACATCGAATTGGCTTATGTACTCAAAAATATGTACTGGAAGCATCTATTTGAACTAATGATGTTATTGTGTCTCTCAAAGTTAAGTAGGGTCTTTCAAAAATATATCTACATTTTAAGAGAAAATCCCCAGAAATCGCAGCTTATTAAAACGTGACTGAACGTTCTCATTTTCGACTTTACAAAATGAAGCCATCAGAACGGGAACGCTTTGGGAGTTGGACAATTAATCGGTGCGGTTAAATAACAGTCACCGGTAATTGGATGGGTGGCCATTCTCTGTTGGGACTCAAAAGCGTCGTTAACTCGTCGAGGTTGCATCTGACTATTGTAGTGACGAATTTTATGACTGGGTTGAGTAGATTGGATTTTGTGACTGGTAAATGTTTACGTTACAGATTTTATTGTTATGTAGTTAAATAAAAGGGGTTTACGTACAGTCAAAACGGCAACTCATGTTATTCATCATCAGCAGTGACCAGACATATAAGCTATACCAAAGGCTTCTTCTCACACGGTGTAGGTTTGAGGGTTAACAATCGCGATTGCTCAATGCGGGTTCATCATCAACAACCTATAAATGCCCACTGCTGAGCAAAGCATCTTCTCACACGGAGAAGGTTTGGGCATTAGTTTCAGATAAACTATTCGGCGAGATGAAAGGCATTTGTTTAACAATGGATGTCTTCAGAATAACGATGATACTGAAAATGATGATGAAAATTTTCCTCATAATATTCTTATAACGAACTCACCTTGTTGTTCCATTGAAGTTAATCTTGACACCGTCTTTGTACCACGTGAATGCAATGTATGGGGACCCGTACGCCATACAAGTCAGTATGAATTCTGATCCCTCCCATACTTCGGGTCGTTGATTGATTAGTAAAGCCTGAACAGAAAATTTTTAGTATTTTGAAAACGCTGAAACAGCATGCCAATATTAAACATAATGCCTTCGTAATTCCAAGGCTAGGGCAGAGATGTAGAAATTGGACATTATAATGTAACATCAAATCACTCATTTATGTTGATTCTCGTAATTCTTATGTAATATAAGCGAGGGTAGCTGACTCCACTTCTGAGACTGAGCTATAACTAAAAATGTTTCTGGAACCCAATAAAACACCAATATTATGTTGCCCGACCTCAAGTGACCTCTTCACCAACGAGGCAGTTTATGTACCTACATAATACATAGGTACGTAATACACGAACACGTACTAAACTACTTATAGACTTCTGAAGCAACTTTACAAACACAAGTAAGCAACTGTTGACATCGTCACAAACTTTTTCAATTAAGCTCACCACGCTGCACTAAGAATGTTAATATATTATATACCATATTTCGAGGTGACACGGTATCCCGGTATTTGGAACATTCTTATTTTCGTTGTAGAAGGCCGAAAATATTTCGCGTTTAATAATATTAGGTACGAACTAAATTCGAGAAAAATGGCAATGGAATTTTCTAAATCTTTCAACAAAGAAAATGCTATTTTAATATTAGACGATTTCTAACTTTGGATTAGATGAACAAGTGATTTTGGGACCGATTCTTGGAGCAGAAGTCTGTTACTGTTTATTATTATGGAGTTTTTAGATTGACTGAACATTATTCTAATACATGGCAGTCTTTGGAACAGAGCCACAAACAACTGGTGAAAAGTGAGCGGTACACAATTATCTTCCACATAAATAAAAATGAATTTCCGTTCGTCGGTCTCGCTAAAATTCGAGAACGGCTGAACCGATTTGGCTAATTTTGATCTTGACACGTTCGTGGATGTCCAGGGAAGGTTTAACCGTTCGTGTGTCTAAGCCGTGGATCCACGCAAGACACAATGTATTTTGTATTGTGTCTCATATCGGTGCATTGAAAAGGTGAGAAAAAACGATTAGGCGGTACGAAGTTGTGCCGGGTCAGCGAGCACATACTAATTGTGGACACCTACTTACCTATTCGGAGATTCACAGGTATGACGTTATGTTTTATAACGATTAGATTGTAACATAACATAACATTACGCCTTTTATCCCCGAAGGGGTAGACAGAGGTGCACAATGCGGCACTCAATCTAACACCCACTTTTCACTATTTATGTTATGAGTCTTATGTAATAGGGGGTGAGCCTATTGCCATATACCGGGCACATTTCTAGATTCCGTGCTGCTGCTGAGGTTTTTACAAATCTCAGTACTTTGTCCGACCCGGGAATCGAATCCGAGACCCTTTTCCCGGCAGTCGAATTTGCGACCACTCGGCCAATTAGAATGTTACCTACCTACAATAAAACCTACCACAATTCACATCGATTTAGTTTCGGGAACCTCAATCAAGTTCTTTAGGTACTTTTGTACAAATTGTGGGTAGATAGGAATAAATCGAGCCACGGTTCTCCTAATCCTCTTAAGTGCTTATGTTTGCTTTTTAGTTGATTCCTTAGTGTTGGAGATTGATAGTGTCGTTACGGTTTAGTACTAGGTACCTTCCGATAATCTGATTGGATGGTTAAGCTAGTTTTTTAGCACTTCCATATTTGAATAAATCGTGGAGCCTTTTTATTCCCGAAGGGCAAATAGACTTTTGGCTAATCTTTTTCTACGTTTAACAAAAGCATGACAATGTTTGCAGATTTTTAAAAGGGAGTGCTTCTAATACTATCCATAATGATTGTATAATGATCCATAGGCACTCCAAGTTTATCTTTGGTCCCTACTTATGTATGTGGACCTGATTGACCGTAAAATTAGAGGCACATGCCATCACGGAGGTGCACATTATGCCACTATACAATACAATGTAACACCCACTTTTCACTATTTATGTAATAGGGGGTGAGCCTCTTGCCATATACTGGACACAATTCCAGACTTCGTGGTACTACTAAGAATTTTTAGAAAACCCGGTAATACTTTGCCCGACCCGGTAATCGAACCCGAGACCCCTTGCCCGGCAGTCGCACTTGCGAACACTTTGCCAACAAGGCAGTTAGAGATATGATAGCAATATAAACAACTTACTTGCAAGGTAAGTGCAGGGTGCATATCGACGTGTAGTGCAGTTGGCAATAAACGTAACGTTGGTGATCGTGCGCGTGCGGCGGCGAGGCGCGCCAGGGCTGCGCGTACGGCAGCTGCCTCTCGTCTCGCGCCCCATACGCGCACCCATGCCTCCCGTACGCCACCCACTGCCACTGAACTGAGACATATAGTCCATATAGAAAACACTCAATTTTTTATTTACCATCTTCTCATCTACTCCACCAAGGGATATTAGAAGAAAAATAGCCTTTTAGCTGAAGCGACTGTTTTCCACATTCCCCAAGCTCAATGAGCACAGAATCGTTCCCGAAGGGATATAAATATATAATTTAGCACAGCTAACTTCATAAATATTATAACACTGTGGGTATTTAAATGCAAATGCAATCAAAACGTCAATTCGTAGTGTCGGTATAAATAAAATATTCATTTCATTGTCAAATGAATGACAAGACCAAATACATGCTTCCGTAATCACATTTCTTTAGACTTACCTTCACCGTGTTGGAGACTCAGTTGCCAAAGGAAGAAAAAAAAAAAATAGACTTACCTTACATTTAAAACTTCAATGTCATCCTCTAAGGTTATATTTGATATCCTCAAATAGCTTGTTAGCTGAAAGAAAGGTAAGTTATTAGTTTAAAAATACTTGTAAATTTTAAATGGGAATGATGACAGGGTATGAAAAATAAAAAAATAATTAGTCCGTAAGTTAGGTAATCAAAAAATATTAGACACGTATTTTTTTATTTTGTCGTATAATAAAACATTACTTAGATAAAACGAATCAAAGTTTAGAAGTGGGGGCTAAAACGTCATTTCTACGTATAAAATGTACTGAGAAGTTACGTCACGCGATATTTCAAATCAATATATCATAACAAATCAATATATCTTCGGAACTATTCGTTTCCGTAAGAAAATAAAAATACGTGTCTAATGTTTTTAAATAATCTACTAGACGGACATTAAAATCAAAATTAGTCGTCTACCCTATTAAGTGGGTTAAATAAAATACCTGTTTCATAATTTCTTCTGATATGTTTTCATTTGGCAGGTCCACTATTTGCAGTCTTGTTTCGTATCGGGCTGAAGCTGTGTAAGAATGGAGTCTGATTAAAATGAGAGATTGTTCACTATTGAGCAAATTTTTGATTAACATTTAGATTACAAGCTATTGGAAAAGATTAATAAAGGCTCGTACTTAACATTCAATGTATATGTATGTATATATATATATATAACCTATTTCTTTTTTGATAAAGTTCTTATTTTATCAACGTAGTAGTGGCGATACTCCAACTTATTTTAAGTAATGTTAAAACTAAATACTCACTGAAGTCAGTGTCTTTGGGTTTACAATCACAGTTTCCTTCTTTGCAGACTTCTTTACATTCTTCTACACCGCATTCTGGAACAATAACATCTTATCACCCAAACGATTCTATCTCTCATAGAAGACCCACAGTTATAACAATCTCCGTCTTCTTGATTTCTAAGAAATGTATAATTAGCCTTCAATATGATAGAGAACAAGCTTATGATAAAGCATTTAGGGAAATACAGAGTGAAAGGTACAAATACTGAAATACAGGGTACAATATATTGTTTTTATATAAATCCCGTTTCTATTGACCAAATTAGTGAATCAAAACAAAATTTGATAAGAGTTTATATGCTATTTTTAAAACGAATGACATTCCTGCCAGTATTAGTATATAAGCCAGGACGTACACTAGATACAACCATGGAAACACTGGAACACTGAAGTCCTGCGCGTCCCAGGAACATGAATAACTGTTTTGGTTCCCGCAACGAAGTGAATCTGAAGATATTATAAGAGGAGAAGAAAAAAAACGATAGTTTCCATTTTTCTTGGTGAATGAATTAAGCCTGAAGGCATAAAAAAAGAGACTGTACCCAGTTGCCTAGCACCCACGGAAATTTGACTAAAATCTAAGCGCTTTTGTTTGTTAAACGATATCTCAGAAACTAGCCACTTTCGAACTATGGACCTCAAGGCTAATTTTGTAGGAAATTAGTTGGATTATCACCTTCCGAGAGGAATACTTCGAGTTCCAAGTCACCCTGTATATAATTTTTAAATTTCAAGAAAATTAAATGTTCCCTAACACTTTGCCCAGCAACAACAACAGTGTAGAGTCGTCTTGTTAAGCGATTTAGAAGCCTCTTGACTTAAATATAAGAATTATTTTCGGTAGCAGCTTTACCCTGGAAGAAAGGATTCCTTTGAAATCTTTACTCATTACTTGGAAGTGTTTGTTATTTTGGCAGAACCTTAAGTAATTATGATGAATTGTCTCTATTTATTTGAGGTTCTTGTACCTCAATATTGAAGGAATACTAAGGTTAGAGGAATTATTGCCAACTCTTAACTAAGAGTTACTTAGCTTGAGTGAACTAACACTAATCGCTTACCTATATTACGTATAGGTTGGATATTATCTTAGATTAGGGGTTGCTAAAAAACAGATGTTATCTAGTATTTTGAAGATAATGATATTTTGCGAAATATTTACAGGAACTGCTACGCATTGTGAAATAAAATTTAATAATATCACGTCGATGTCTCTGCCTCACTGGCCGAATGGAGGCAAGTGCGACTGCTGGGTAAGGGGTCTCGGGTTCGATTCCCAGGACGGGCAAGTATTATTTATTTATTTAAGTTTTATACAATACAATTGCATAAGGAGGACTTAATGCTAACAGCATTCTCTGCCAGTCATCCTTTGGGTAGTGCAGAAATGTATGTGGTAGGTGGTAAGCTGCAAAGATGTTAGTGGTAATTATCAAAATTAATAAGGAGCATCAAAGCACACATAAAATACGTATATAATAATATATATAATCATACATATATATATAGATAGATATAAATAACATCATACATAATATAATCTATCTATGAGCCGTATATGAATTTATCCTATATTAAAACAAGATGAAAACTAATAAAAGATGTTATGAAACTGCCAGCTTTCTGCTAATGTACTCACGCGCCCTCCGCTTGAAACTCAAACGACTGGTTTGGTATTACTGGGTTTAACAAAAATCGCAGTAGTAGCACGCTGTCTGGAAATAAGCCCGGTATATGGCAATAGGCTTAACCCCTATTACATGGGACTCATAACATAAAATAGTGAAAAGTGGGTGTTACATTGTAGAGTGGCATTAAGTGCCTTAATGTCCACCTCTGCCTACCCCTTCGGGGATAAAAGGCGTGATGTTGTGTTAACGTCGATGTCGTCATAACCTTATTCCATGACAAGGTCTACCTTTTCCGTTTATTTAGTTATTTTTTTAACATCAGGAAACTGTATCAATAATAACATTAGACGCATTTAGAGACGGTTTAGTTTTCTGGGGGATTCCCGTTTGAGCACTTCAAACAACTTTATTTTAGGCAGCTATACATTCAGCACCACCGATATTTAACCATCAACCAGGTGGTTGTTGTGTATCTGTGGTATAGTCTATGGTGATAGTTTATCTATGGTACGTGGATGAGCCCGCGAATTAAAAAAAAATATAAGACGCAATAAAACAGTGTATCAATAGCCTTCATTCGTTTTACTTGTATTTCGTTTGCCTTCAGCAGTTTTCTGTCGGCAGTCAAAGGCTTAATAGTGATCAAACGGGAATAATCTGGTTTTTGACTACCTTATGTTATTATGAATGGTTTAGCAACATTGCATTTCTTTTGTTTTAAAATCGTTTTGAGCATTGAGCTGCTTAAGGAGCAAAGAAACTATTTATTAAAAAGTACTCTTGAAAAACAGAATAAATGCGAGTTCTTTTACTCTTAAAGACTACAGTCGGGTAAAAGAATATGGGTTCATTGTGTGCTTTCAAACAAAAAGTAAGCAGCCCTTTGGAGGCTTTTACTTTGTTGGCACTGTTATATTTTTTCTTTATGTAAATGGATGAAGAAAGGATAAAGACGATTATATATAAAGAAATGTAGCTATATTGCTGTATATATATAAATGTCGGACTGCCTCGTTGGCCGAGTGGTCGCAAGTGCGACTACCGGGCAAGGGGTCTCGAGTTCGATTCCCGGATCGGGCAAAGTATTAACTCGTCGAGTACCGTCATTATAGACACAATTATAGAACAATAGGTTGCGGTCACCGGTGACCGCTTGGTGTTTGACAGTTTAATGGGTTTCAAAAAAATCCCAGTAGTAGCACGGAGTCTGGAAATGTGCCCGGAATATGGCAATAGGCTCACCCTCTATTACATGGGATTCATAACATAAATAGTGTAAAGTGGGTGTTACTTCTGTGTGCCTTTTATCTATTCTTTTATTATTTATATTATAATAAATAATAATAATAAATCTTTATTCATTATAAGAAATTGGTCATGGTACAGATAAACATCTTAATTTAAAATCAGAGATCTCACTAGGTTTGAATGCCTGTACTAGGAAGAATATCCTGTATCACAGGCGAAAGGAGCACTCACAATATTACTAATATTATAAAAGGCGTAATGTTATGTTATGTTATGTAGCTATATTTCTTTTCACTAGCTAGTAGAAACAATGTAGATCTAATACTATGACTGCACAGTTGGTGCAATGGCCGAGCAACTGGTTTCTGAATAACGTTTTATAATGGTTTCAATTGCTACGTGTTGTTTATTTTATGTGCATTGTGATGTTAGTAAACACTCCTGCTACACAGGAGGAATTCAAGTGTGGGGATATTTATTTTAAAAAGATAAACTCCTGTATCTTTTCCTTGTGCTTGTTTTGTTTTTATATTTGATGGGCCGACGTTTGACCACTATCTCGCCTGGTGGTAACCGATGATGCGGTCTACGATGGAGCACGTCCTCCTATAAGCAACCTATTTACTCGGGCCTTGAAGACTTCCTTCAGGAAAACTGACTCTGATAAAGAATTCCACTCTTTAGCAGTACGCACAAGGAAGCTTGATGCGAAGCGCTTCGTGCGTGTGGGTGGGACATCTACCATGAATCGGTGACGCTTTCCCTTTCATAAGAACTTCGTTTCACATGGTTGGATTCGTAGAAGGTAAACTAGCACACGGATCTACAGACAGTAAGCGATCAGCGCCGCCCATGGACACCCGCAACACCAGAGAAGTCACAGGTCTCACTTTTACCGGATTGGTTAAGGTATTAAGCGATGATTACGATTTAACTCGTCGAGTACCGTCATTATAGACACAATTATAGAACCGGTGACCGCTTGGTGTTTGACGGTTTAATATACACACAATACATATCATGACATCACGCCTTTTTATCCCCGAAAGGGTAGGCAGAGGTGCATACTAAGGCACTTAATGCCACTGTACAATGTAACACCCACTTTTCACTATTTATGTTATGAGTATGAGTCCCATGTAATAAGGTGTGAGCCTATTGTACAAGAAAATCTAAGACTTATTAATATGAAAAGGAATACAAATGTCTCACCAGGCGGTGCTACCTGCGCCTCGCACAGGTCCCCCGTGTAGCCAGGCGCGCAGATACAGCTGACGGCGGCCGGACCCATCTGTCTGTGGAGAGATCAATTTAAAATACATACTACGATGAGATTTTATAAGATGGAGATAAAGTTGAATTATTAAAGAGGCTATGTCCAACTGTGGACCTGATAACTTGAAGATAATGATGGCAACAATGATTATTTCACTCCCTCTTCTATATCCTTGTAAAGAAAGTTATAATAATCCTGACCTTTCGTGGTCGTGGTTGCCCGGAGGTTTAAGACGCCCGCTTCTCATGTATAAGAGTGCGGGTTCGAAACCTACCAACGGCAAGTCCCATGTGACTTTTTCCGAGTTGTATTGTACTTTCTAAAACTATTTAGACACCACTGACAAACGGTGAAGGAAAACATAGTGAGGAAACCTGAGCTTATAATTTCTAATTATAAGTTTGAAATCACCAGCCCGCATTGAGCAAGCGTGGTGATTAATGCTCAAACCTTCTCCGTGTTAGTAGAGGCTTTGCTCAGCTGTGTGCGTTTATAGGCTGTTAATGATGGTGATGATGAAACCTACTGTATATTCCTTAGGAATAGAAATCACAATTTCAGTAGAATGTACCTATATACCGTAGCAAGTTGAGCGTTATGTATAGTTCTGATAAGATCTGATAAATAAACTCATTTATCTTACACGTTATACCAGTAAACATTATACCCACAATTACTTACACAAAAGTCTACCTTTCCCCGTCTTTTTGTGTTTAAAATCAACATACAAACAGAATTAAGGACACAAAAAGGTTTCAACAAAAAGGTTAAATAAGATCGTTGCGATGCAGATGTGGTTTCGCGATGTATGGAATGGAATATTTAGCATAGAATACTTTCAAGGGACCTATTAACTCGTCGAGTACCGGTTTTGTAGATACAATTATAGAACAATAGGTTGCGGTCACCGGTGACCGCTTGGTGTTTGACAGTTTAAAAAGGAAAATAGATTTATTTTTAAACAAGAAAGAAACACAAAGAGCGTTTAATAACTATTTAGTACTTATTAACCCATGCTGTGTCTAAATGTAGGTCCACGCGTGATACTATTTTTTTTATGGAATAAGCCGGTAAACGAATAAACGGACCTACTGATGGTAAGCAATCGGCGTCGCCCATGGACACCTGGAACACCAGAGGCGTTACAAGTGCGTTACCGGCCTTTTGGGACTAGGAATTTGAGGATTGTCGGGGATTCAGGGATTGGGAGGGGGAGGGGCGGGTTATTGGGTGGTAACCTCACTCACGCGACGAAACACAACGCAAGCGTTGTTTCACGCTGGTCTTGTTTGAGGCCGTGGTATCACTCCGGTGCCTTTAGGCTTAATTCAGTTTACAGGTGCTCCCACACAGCAGTTGTATTACGTTATATCACATTGTGTAACATGATAACATTTTGTAACATACTCTACAACATGTCAAGATACTACTACTTGTTGTAATTTGTTTAAAAACAAATGTTAACTTAGTCTCTAACGTTATAAAACTACTGTGTGGGAGCACCTTACTGCAGTAATTCACTAAAATAACATTTTTTACAATTTTTGCTTGTCTGCCTGTCTGTCTGTTTATTTGTTCTGGCTAATTTCTGGAATCACTGGACCGATTTTGCTACATTTTTATTTGAGGGTAGCGGATGTACTAAGGAATAACATAGGCTACTTTTATTTTGCCTGCGATTTCCAGTATACTATTACTATATATTCCAGAAAATACTACTATTTTATAGGATTTCTTATACTTACAATAAAAGTTTTCTTACCTGCAGGTGCCGCCATTTTTACACATGTTGGAGGTCGTGGGACACAGCGGACCCACTCCGCAGTCCACGCCGGAGTACCCATCGAAACACGAACAGTAAAACTCCCTGCGACATGGAAAATATTGCAGGTTAAGTATCGATAATGTTAATAAATAAAAACTATGGGGAAATAGTTGGGACAATAATTATGTTATGACTATTTGATTTAATAGGTTAACGTATTATATATAGAATACTTGACACAAAATCGAGTATTTATGTAAAATGTTAGTCGATCGCGTTGTAAATTCTAAAGGGGGGGGGGGGGCTAGTTTCTAATCAAGTCATATTCAATACTTGTTTGAAAATAAAATAACGACATTTTGCCAAAAAAAATATTTTGTTCTATAATATATAAAATTAAAGATACTATAATTTTTATTTTTTTTTATTTTAAAAGACTTCATGCACACACTAATGTACAAGGTGGGCTTAATGCCTAGGGCATTCTCCTCCAGCCAGACCTTTGGGTGATGCAGAGACGAAAACAATGGTCGATGCAAGAAGCAAGCGTATTTAAGACTCAACAGAAATACATAGAAAAACGGATAGTATAGACTATATAATAATATGTATAAAAACTTTGTTGAAATAAAGAATGAAAGACAAAACTTTATTTCACGCTAATGAACAAGTGACATGTACAAATAAGTCATTTTATTAGTAGATACTGATGGATACATGTTCATGTCCCAAGTCAGTGAAATGGGACCAGTTCACCATGTGCAAGACAGGGCTGGTATTCTACTGGCCCCTTAAGTGACTCGCGGACGAAAAAGTCACCAATTAGACATTTACAGTTTAGATGAAATTAATTAATTATATAAACATAATAACTTTACAAAATAAATGAAGAGATAAAATAAAAAAAAACATGATGATTGTGGGATCTACATCAGCGAATTTAACTGATCAAATCATTTGTTTAAAAACTATTTTATTGATCTGAGCTTTGTAAACCACACCAGTCACATTTTCAATGACTACATTAGCATTGCATTTCTGAATGATACTCATTATCTGTACCCAGTGTGCAGCTCACTGTACAATCAGTGATCAAAACTGTCATCAGAATCAAATTTATGTTCTCATAATTCACGCTCTATTGCCTCCGCTGATGGGATTTTCAATAAAATGATTTTTGAAACTTCAATACCATTAATTTTACTGTTCATTTGTTCAAAAATGACTATAAAATTTACATTAAAATTCCTTTTGACGGTATGAAATGGGCACTAAATCTAATAAGTAGGGTTATATTTCTTAAAGATGTTCATAATTTTTATAAGAATATAATACTCTCTTGTAATATACATTTCTTAAATATTATGTCTGTAAGTGAAAGCATCTATTGATGAACAAACGTAAGACAGCACTTATTTAGTAAAGTCGTCGTATATAGTGCTACTGTCAGCAGTTTTACGGCTGATTCACGTAAAGGTGCTCCCTCACCGGGAGCATTCGCGTGTAATGTAACGTTACAGATCTGAGCATTACGTCAGTGAAGGAGGAGAACCGAGCATTACGATGCGCACCTTGTAATGATACAATGTGTAATATATTGATACAACTTGTAACATCGATGTCTGACATCTTGCTATGAAATATACTCAAAGTCGAATTGATATGTTCCATTACACGCAAATGCTTGTTAGTTAGGGAGGTATTATTGTAATGTAACGCTCAAAGTCGAATCTATAATGCTACATTACACGTGAATGCTCCCCTTAAAGTAATTGTTATACGAGATAACTCAACAAGCTTCAAATCACGCCGAGGGCATATAATTGTCGTTATGTTTTATGTGATCGAGATTTTTTATATATTTCAAAGGTTGCCTAGCGAAAAGTGATGATGTGACTAATGCAGCACGTCTGCTTGTAAGGAACCTATCCACTCAGGACTTGAAGGCATCCAGCTAGTCCCATGTTTCAAGTTAGTAATTAAAATATGGTGGTACTCACTGATAATCATGCCTAGCATAGCAGTGCCCCAGTAGCCGGCACTCGATGGCGCTGCAGGAGCTGGGCCTCGGCGCCTGAGCGGCCGCTCGCACCTCGTACGTCACGTTGAACCCGTACACCGCAAGCAGCCCCAGCGCGCGGAGCTGTGTGCCTTCTATTCTGTTCAGGTTCAGCTCCACTACCAGTACTGGGCTTTGGACCTGCAACAAAGACAGAAGATACGGTCAGAATATTTTGAAATACTACGAGACGATAAATTGTAACAGGGTGCTTACTCTTGAAACCAATCTCAATGTCAATCTAATGTCAATTCAATAAAATCCCAACTTATTGAATATTAAATATAATAATCCAACTTATTCAATGTCAAAATTATACAATCCCTATCGTAGATGTTAAAATAGCATTCAGAGTACGGATTATAAAGCCAAACTCAATACCACTTATTTCATTAAATATCCACGTAATACGGGTGCAATAGACCCTATTTTTTTGAGGGGGGAAAATCATCGAAAGCAGTGGACCCTACTTAAGAGTACGAAATTTCACAATACCAACGTCGATCGATTGGAATTGGATTCAACAGTCAGCCACCAGGTACCAGGCAGCCGGTCTTCAACCCTTGTAAGTTCATGAGTGTTACCTTTGCTTCCATTGATAACTTATTTATTTAAAGTAATACCTATATACTAGGAACTCCCGAACATAAAAACATGAATGTAGAATATAAAATGAAAACGTAATCTGCGGAATCTCATAACGTAGCAAATATTACTTAAAGCGTATAAGACAAGACTGCAAGCGTTTGATATTTGTAAGATCCGTTGATGTGTGTACCTAATGCTTGTTTATGACGTCAGCATATACATATATCACATCACCTTAAGAAGCTTTCAAGATTTTGTTAATTGAAAAGATTAAAATAATAAACGAAACAACGTTATATCTTATAATATCCGTCGTTTTTTTTATGCTGTCTGACTGCCTCGTTGTCATATAAAAAAGGGTCTCAAAAATCTCTTTCCCATAATGCCACAGCCTTTCCAGTCTTTCCTTAAATTCAACGATGAGCCCGTTAGGTATAATAATTTAAATAGAAAGTTAAATAAATGAAAATGTTCTTTTTAAAGTTCACAGACCTCGTTAGCGGGGCTCGAGGCAAAGGCCAGATAATATGCATATTACAAAACTGAGCATGCAAGAAAAAAAACATGCTGTATATGAATATAATTTCGGTGTAGCCGAAATGCTAATGGTAATACGAATTTATGCTAGACTGGGTCTATCCTGGCTTTGATATTACAATATTTTTGTTGTACGGAGAATTTTTTTTTAATGTCAGATGACTTAGACTGCCTCGTAGGTTGAGTGAGCATTGCTGACTGCCGACCAAGAAGTCTCTGGTTCGATTCTCAGGTCAATGTATGCTTAACCCTACTACACGGGACCCACTGCATAATTGTAGGTACCCTTTACTATATGAAACTTTTGGAACATAAGTGGTATTACATGTTTATGATATATGCACCTCTGTTTACCCCAATTCATAACTTTTTATGTGTTTAAAGAATTTATTTTCAAAGAAGAATATATTTTAAGTGTGGGAGAGCCATGCTTTGGCACGAATGGGTCAGTTCGACCGGAGTAACCCCGCGGTCTCATAGAAAACCGACGTGAAACAACATTTGCGTTGTGTTTCGTCGTGTGAGTGAGGTTAGTAATCTGCCCAATCGCCGAATTCATAACAATCCTCAAATTCCTAATCCCCAAAAGGGAGGTAACGCAGTTGTAACGCCTCTGGTGTTTCATGTGTCCATAGGCAGCGCTGGTTGCTTACCATCAGGTGATCCATCAACTCGTTTATCGGCTTATTCCATAAAAAATGCATACAGAGTTCACTTATATGAGAAATACATTTAAAATAGTATATTTATTTTTATCTGGGTTATTAATACATAAAGTAATTATTCCAACAACCTCTAATCTGTTAATAGACTTTGGTAGTCACTAATTTATTTTGTTAATTGCTCGTTTAAAGAGAGGTAAAATAAATGTTTCCGCCATGGTACTTCTGTAATTAGTAGGAAACTTTTAAATCCCGATTAAAGTCGTTGTCGGCCAAAGTGTCGTGATTTATTTAGTTTCGTTTGACTTTGTAATAAACGAGAAGTGAGAGGCCATGATGGAAGAAAAATAAAAGTATTCTCGGCTTTGAGACTCAGTGTATGGGTTAGTACAGGAATCAAGTGTCGAATGTTTAATACCAATAGACGTTTTTCGAAATTGTAGGCCTTTTTAGGGGCGATATCATTAATTCTTTAACCCTGGATGAAGTGAAAAGAAGTGTCAGACTCTTACTGACTAAAATCACTGTTCCTACTTCTGCTTTAATCCAGAGCCTTATATTTAGTTTTATTAATGTTTGTTATCTAAGGACTTATAGTTTTGCTGGTAAATAGCAACTTAAAATAATTTAATGAATAATAATAAATAGGTAGACAATGAAAACATAATCAACACAATATTAACATAGTAAAATGACTTTTATTTGCAAAGTTTCTAAATAAATAATTATTATTTAATACCAAAAATAAATCTCAGTAGTAGCACGGAGTCTGGAAATGTGCCCGGTATATGGTAATAGGCTCACCCCATATACTCATAACATAAATAGTGAAAAGTGGGTGTTACATTGTACAGTGGCATTAAGTGCCGAAATGTGCATCTCTGCCTACCCCTTCGGGGATAAAAAGGCGTGATGTTATGTTTATGTTTATTTAATACCAGCCTTTTCTTATTTACGTCAGATAGTGCACTCGGGAGTAACAATCCTTCCATAATTTATACACAATCGTCTCGATCCCGCCCGAGACACAGATAAAGTATAATTATAATAATAATAATAATAATAATAATCTTTATTGATGATAAAATGAGCAAAATACAAAATATTATCTTAATAAGCGATGTAGACCTTATACAGTTAGATGCCTGTACTAGGAAAGCCCTGTATCACAGGCGAAAGTAGCTTTAACATTATATACTAATTTAGGACATCTTATTTCTATAAACCAATATTACTTATCATGACTTAGCAAATTCAACTATGATTATTTTATATATATATTTTATATATAAATACATTCATTATAATATAATAATACCTACATAATTATGACAAATTATTTAGAACTAATACATAATATGACTACAGCTGTGGAATTACATACATCGGCAGAAACATAAATAAAACTAGGTTACTAAGTTCTTATGGTCATTCACTTCACTCGTGTTATTATAAAGTATTAAAATTTTTTGCTTGTACAGCAACAAAGTTTCCGTCGGCTAACTGGATACGTTGCGCAATTATTGTGCAAAGGAAGGTGAACACCTAACTCTGACGTACAACAATATGCGTACTATGCACCTTCATAGTCTATTGAGTTGATGAATCTGTACTCCGCTATTTTCCTAGCAGGGCACTCAGCGTCACCCGTTTTATGCTTATTCGGCTTGCTATAGCGGGTACAAGTTGCACACTTAGGAGATTCCGTTGTTTTCTTGCACTCAGAAAATGCGTGTCCTACTTCTCCACAATGACCACACGATAAAAAGGGCTCTCGACAGGTTTTTGCTGCGTGACCGTATTGCTGGCATTTATAGCATCTAGTAACGAGCGTAAAATCTCTGACAGGGCACGAAGTCCAATTGATGTAAAGTCTTTCCTGAGAAATAAGAGCTTTGCGTATCTTGCCAGAGACTTGTATGATATAATTGCAGGCCGGTGCGTCCTTTCTTCCGGATTTATGGCTTAACTTTACATCTTTTAGAAAGGATTCCATTGAGATCCCTGAAAACTTGTCAGCTACGTTCTGCTCATAAATGCACTTGAATACTTCAGCATCAGACATAGAGCTCGGTACTCCTACAACCGTAAGTCGTGGTTGACGTTTTTTAGGTTCGTCGGTGGTAAGGCCAGATGATGATAGCTGAACTGCATCCTTAACTTTTTCAGCGTCTTCCTTGGTTTCGGTGCTAATTATAACACCTCCATTTTGTGTTTTACGGAGTCCTCGGACATGCAACTTCAATTCATCAGGGCGTATTATTTTCTGGACTATAGTTTTGGTTTCGTCACTTGATTGTACTAATGGGTTCACAGGGTAAATAGCGACAGAGCTCAAATTGTTGGGACGCACGAAGTTCTTACCCTTTTTCACCATGTCAGCAAATGAATTATTATTTCCCATTCCAGTAGAGTCTTTGATTGTATTCTTGATCTCCGAAATTTGATCTGCCAGGTCACGTCTCTCCTTTAGGTCATCAATGATGTTAATAGCTAGACGGGACTTTTGCTTTAGAGATTGATACAAAACTGCCATTTGTGAGACGCTGGATCCAATTTTACGGCTCAGGTTTGTAATTTTCAATTTTTGCTCTGAGTTAAGTTTTCCCTCCGTAGCAATAGAGCAAACTTCATTTAATTGTTGTTCGATTGACGCCATCCATTTCTGTATTTCGGGCGTTGACACAACTTCGATAGTGAAGTCAGTTTGAAGGCTGCTTTTAATTGGTGAGGCACAGGAAGCGAGGTTGCTGGGGCTCTTATCCATTTTTAACCGATATAATATGTTTATGTTTCCATATTATAATACTTATTTTCAGAGTATAAGCAAAACTAAATCAAGTAGGTCACTATTATTGCAGTAAATTAAATATTGCTAATAAGCACGTCTGTTCACTTCGAACGGCGAATGCGAATTCCCGAATTAATTTATTCATGCAATTAGTACTTCTGTGAAGAACTCACTTTGTCCCAAGATTATTTTAAACTGTCAAACACCAAGCGGTCACCGGTGACCGCAACCTATTGTTCTATAATTGTGTCTGCAAAACCGGTACTCGACGAGTTAATACTGAACTTCAGAAGGAATACTTTTTAGCAGACTTTTTCATAATTTTCTTTAAGGGCAACATGGAACCGATCTAATATTTTTTTTATGGGTGAAGGACAGAATTTTTTTTTATGTTATCACCTGATGGTAAGCAATTGGCGTCGCCCATGGACACTTGAAACACCAGAAGCGTTACAAGTGCTTTACCAG